AAGAAGAAATAGTTGTTATTAATTGATTTTTATTTTTATTAAAATATTATTTTATTTATTTATATACTGTAATTAAAAAATTTATTTTATTTATTTGTTTAATTAAAAAATTTTTTTGATGATCATAAAAATGTGCGCATTTATTATGTAACACAAACCCCGGCATAAAATTTCCAACACTGATTCCAACCTCTACGTATATAAAATAAATTTTTTTTCCGATTATGGAATGTGCACATATAGATTGTGTCACCATTGAACTTTACTTTACACACTGTATGTGATATTCTATTATGAACAATTTCCAGGACTTTTCAACTACCTTGACTTTTATTAATATTAATATTTTATCAAAAAGTCAAAACTATCTTCAACCGTTTTACCATCCAAATAATGCTGTGGGCAAAATCCAATTTTTAGTTCTGAAATATTTCAAATTTTTAGCATTTATTTCCAAAATGGTGGAATATCTGATTTATCAGTGTGTCATAAATGTTATTAAATGAAATAACCAATAAAAAAGGTTGTAAACTCTTGTCATATTGTTAAACTTGTATAAAATTAGTTTGTTTAAGCAGAAACAGTTTTAAGTTTTGACTTTCATTTCTCCTCCAAAATAGTTTTGTTGCTAACTTTATTTACACAGTGAGTCTCAGTATAATGGATATTTAACTAGTACAAAATTAGAAATTATCTGCAAAAATTGAATTTGATTGGATATTATTGCAGATAGTTCTAAATTTGTACTAGTTAAATATCCGTTATACCAAGACTAGGGATGGGAAATTGCATGAAATTTCAAAATTTCATGTGCATGATGCACATTGTGCGCATTTCATGCAGTGTTTTTTTTAAAAAAGAAAAATTACTATATATATACTTTTAAGATTTTTTAATGCATTATTTATTCATTATTAAAAATAATTATGTTTATATATAATTCATTTTCATCATCACTGTCAATATCACTATTATCAAAATTGTCATCACTATCATCAACAGTATCATCACTATCATCAATATTTTCACCTACATTTGTAACTTTACTCATCTTTGAGTTTTCAATTTATTAATATATATTAATTTAAAAACATGATCATATTTGTCAATTTATTTCATTTTTTGTATATAAGAAAATGTAGACCAATTCCTTTCTACTGCACTGATGAGGTAGGAATAGAAAGAACTCTTACCACAACTTTTGTCAATTCAGGTGCCACAGCTCCAAAATTACTTTTCCACCAGGTTAATAATCCACATTATTCCCATTAGTTGCCAAATATACCACTATGAGCTTTATATTGTAAAATTTAATTTCTGCATTTTCTGTATGTGACATTGCATGATTTGAAAAAAAAACCACGTGCATGATGTGCATGATGCAATGCACATTGCTTTTTTTTCATGCACATGGAACATCTCTAACTGAGACTCACTGTGTACTACTTATTGTTTATGCAATGGTGATGTATATTTATTACACAACTAACAGCCAATAAGAGAGCTTCTTTATCACAGAACTGTGATTTTAGCCAATCACCAAAGGTGAAATTAATTTCGCCTTCGGCATTTCGGAAATTTATCAGATTTCAGTCATTAGGCGGAATTAATTTTGCCTAATTCCAGAATGGGCGATTGGTGAATGTACTAATTTCACCCACAGCATTACATCCAAAAAGTCAAAATGGGTTTCACTGACTTCATGTATATTCCCTACATAGCACAGGCTCCATGTCATCAAATTATATTAGAAGTATATGAAATTTTCAGTGAGTCTTGATTACTTG